CATGTGAAGCACGAGTACATTCATAAAATATTTTTATTGAATCAATTCCTTAACTAAATCTCAAATAATTAATCAAAATATTGAAATATTAAGCCTTTTGGGTTTACAAGCTCGATTCAGGAATTTCAGGTCATAATTTGGAAAAACGGACTTCGGAATCAGATTCAGGATGTCGAAAAACATAAAGTATGACTTTCCGAAAATTTGAATTCTTGGTTAAAATCAAAGTCAACGGGTTTGACTAACGATTTGGAGACTTTCGGGTTTGAATTTAGCGAAACGGACCACAAAAACGGATTCGGGACGTCGAAAACTATCAGGAGAGGTATTCTTAGAAAATATTAACGGCTGTTTAATAGACGGTCAAAGCTGGTCAAAGTTCTGGTCAAAGGAGGTTAACAAACTGTCAACAATTTTACAGAAATAACACCCTTTTTAAAATAATTACCAAAATAGCACCCTTTTTGAATTAATTCCCAAAATAACATTCTTTTTGAATTAATTCCAAAAATAGCACCTTTTTGAATTAATTTCCAAAATAGCACCCATTTCGAATAAATTCCCAAAATACACCCGATCAACGGTCAACGGTCGGGTCGGGTCAACGGGTCGGGTCAAAACCGGTCAAACTGGTTCAACCCTTTGAAAAACCGGTTATTTTTGCCTTCCCCACGTGCAGTGGCGGCGCGTGGGGGCGCGTGAGGTCTCTTCTGGCTGCGTAAAATTCACGGAAAAATTTCTAAAAATTATTTTGAGCGATTTCGAGATACTTACAAAGATCAGTTCAAATTTTTAAACGGCGGAGAGCTCGATTTTATCAAATCGGAAACTTTGACCGCTTCACCTCCCACGCGCCGCCGTCGACGGAGACGGAGGATGACACCGGCGGACTCGGAACGGCACAAGGAACACGATGGTGCGGGAGGTGTCGTAAACGGAGCAACGATCGGCGCTGAATTTAAGATTTTCTCGGCGATTGAGCTAAAAAAGTCGCGGCTTTGACTTGAAATTCACGGCGTTTGGCAGCGTTTCACCTCAATTAATTTAAGTGAATTGTTCCTCACTCGATAACGAACACGATGGTGGTTTCAAAACGACGATCAGAATTCGGACGGAGTCGGGATCGTTGTCGGAAGTTGACGTTGGGGAAGGAAGTTTAGGCTCAATTTAGGAGTAATTGGTTTCTGATTTTCAGAAACCAATTGCCGTATATAATACCAAACTTCACCAACCTTTCTTGGGTAAATTCAGGGCTTGGTCCCTGAATTTTCTTTAACTCTAAAACAAGCTACAAATTTTTAAAATCTTTTAATTTAGTCCCCAAATTTCTCCAAATTACAATTATATATATTTTTCTCAAATTTCTGGGTTGTTACAATCTCAAGATCATCCATCGATTCATTATCACTAATGAGTCCTACCTCTATCAACAAGGCGTTTATCTGGGCATTCAAGGACGACTTAGAGCTATTACCTACATCCTCAATATGTTGCATCAGGTGAGGTATCTACTCTTGAGCTAACATGGAATTCTCCATACTTGTATCTCTTCGCCTTAGGTTCTCCTTATGTGTTTTAAATACCTCATTATACTGAGATGATAAACGTATATATGTACCCTTTTTGTTATTCCTCCCCGTTTCCTTGATGGCAATTGCAACATGGTTCCCTAGTATAAGATTGGTGTCGTAAATGACTGCCTTAGCATGCTGTACCTCGAGCAAAGGTAAGACTTGCATTCCCTCCATGTGACACCCCTACTTTTACCCAATTTAAAAATAGAATCTTAATATTGTGTACCATTTTGCAAAATTTTGAAGGTTTTAGGTTAGCTTTCGAAAGTCCTATAAGTTTGATAACACTCTAAAAGAGTTATATTTGGTAGCCTTAATTACCTAGGTTTAGTTTGAACTTAAGCATATTTAGAAGCATTTTAGGATTAAATTTACTTAATTTTGCGGATTTTGCATGATAGGTATCGTGGGTTGCTAAGGGTTAAAATTGTTTTTTGTTTCTACAAACTATTGCATTGATGTTGTAGCAATGCAGAAAATGTTGATCGGATGTTGTAGCAGTCTTCTAAGCTTCAGACAGTCGGAATAACCTTTTGGATTGGGATAGTTGGCTCGAGTAGTTGTCATGTGGATGGATAATACCATAAACGTGGACCTTTCCTATTGGGCGATGGAATTCTCATTCAATCTATAAAATGGGAGTACTTTGGAGAAAAAAGTGTGACGATTGGGAGAGATCCAAATTACCATTTTCCACGTTATTTCTTCTCAAGCCACAAACTCCTAAATCCTTTGCCAAGGATTGATGCAACAAAAAGAAAGCTTGCTGCAGAGCTTCAGCGATCAGTAAATCACATTCAATGCCTTATATTAAGAGAGGGAGTGATTTGAAGTATTAAACTTTTGTTGGATGTTTATTATGAACTTCGTATTTTGTGTTTACTTGGGGTATTTACTTTATGAGCTTTGAACTTCATGATTGTGAGTAGAAATATTTTACAATTAAATATATAATGTTTTTGTTTGAATATACAAATATTTTCATTCGAATTGCTATATACATTTTCTAGCTTTGGTGTTGCTGAGTAGCATAGGTATACTGAAAAGTGTGCAACCATTAGATTAACATTGTTAATAGTTTGAATCTTTAATTAATGAAAGTTAATAAAGTAGTTCAAATGGTTTTAAGCAATGGTGATCACATCGACTAAGCATATTATGTTTGCATAAAATTTGGAAGTCATAATATCATATCCTTTGATTTGATAGCTGACCAATTGCTTTATGGAATGTTGTAGGATGAATTAGTTCTTCTCATGATTGATTTCATTGCTTTCTATCTAGCATCTCATTTCCTTGATACATTTTGCTACTAAAAACTCTAATGAAAACAATATGCTCTCTGTGGGTTCGACATTCGAAACTCTCGTAGTTTTCACTTTATTACTTGATTTGCGATGTGTACATTTGTGTTATATGTTATAACATTTCAATAGCATCAAATTTTTGGTGCCGTTTCCAGGGAGCATCGGTTTGATTTAAAGTTCTTTTAATATTACTTATGTGTTTGTTTTATTTTTAGATTTCTAAGTGTTTGTTTTTACTAGTGTATGCCTCGAAGCGACGACGACTTAGAGCCATTTGATACAGAGATTAAAAGAACATTTTGTAAATGTCATCATGAAGCTGCTATGGTTGGACAAAGGAATGGTATTTTACCCCTGCTATAGAATGGAGAGAATTATGAGTTTCTAGATGACATTAGAGCTGAGCAACCATATCAGAATGTATATGATTGAAATCACTCTATTCGTGAGTATGTTGTCCCGACATTAGATGATTTTTATCCGGGTATTATGAGACCAGTTATTAATGCTGCAAACTTCGAATTAAAGTATGATATGTTCCAAATGTTACAATCTATGGGAAAATATGGTGGTTCTTCGATTGAAGATCCTAGAGCACATTTGCGATCTTTCATGGAGGTTTACGATTCTTTTATTTAGCAAGGTGTTCGGAAGAGGCCTAAAGATGAAGTTATTTCCCTATTCATTGTGTGATAAAGCACGGGTTTGGTTGAATTCACTACTGCCAGGTGCTGTAACATCATGGAATCAATTAGCACAAAATTTCTTGTTGCGATTCAACCCACTGAATATGAATGCTAAGATTCGAAATGACTTAACCTCATTCAAGTAGATGGATGATGAAAGCTTGTATGAATCATGGGAAAGATTCAAAGATTTGTTATTGAAGTGCCCTATGCATGGGTTCCCACATTGAAATCAAATTGAGATGTTTTATAATATATTATATATTCACACTCGAATGGTGGTTGATGCCTCAACAAACAGAACTTTGCTGGATAAAACATACAATGGAGTATATGATATTCTTGAGAGAATTTCCACCAACGATTGCCAATACCCAAATAATCATAATACATTTGGTCGGCGTGGTGCTGTAGTAGTAGACTCGAAAGCTTTTAACTCTATGGTATCTCAAATTTTAGCATTGATTGAAATGGTGAAAAAATTGCATTAGACAAGAGGAATGTATGAAGTCAAAGTCACATCTCTTATTACTTGGATATATTGCGGCGATAATCACAATTTTGATGAATGCCCCCAAAATCTGAGTCTATCTACTATGTGTGAAACTATCCAAGGAATGATAATGCTTTTGGAAATACATACAATTCAAATTTCAAAAATCATCCCAATATTTTTTGGAGAAGTCAAAATGTTGCCAATCCACAACATCAGCAATATCAGCTACAACATTACACTCAACAGACAAAAGCCACAACCACAACAAAGGCAGAACTACCAAGGCCAATATTCGAACCAAACTTCAACATTCACACCTTTTGAAGCCATGATGAAAGAATAAATGGCAATCCAATCTACCTCATTAAGGGCTATTGAGAATCAGATGGGACAAATGGCTAATGCTCTAAATAGTCGATTGACAGGGTCGTTGCCTAACGACACTGAGAATCCTAAGAAAAATGGTAAGGAACATTGTAAGGCTATTACCACAAGAAGTGGAATTCATATTGGCGACCTAGTTGAAGAATCGCGAAGGAAGAATTAGGACACTCATCAACATGGTAAAAGAAAGAGCAAAGAGACTGAGCCTGAACTGCATGTGAGTCAATTAACAACACCATATGTGGGGAAGAGTGGTAACACAGACTCATTGCCGATAGCAATCCCTAATGCATCAAATACAAATTCGACTCCATTACCTGAGCAACATCAAACAAAATTGCCTCCACATTTTCCACAACGCTTGAAGAAGGCAAAAGAAAATCAACAATACAAAGCTTTTGTTGATATACTTCGCTAGCTTAAAGTGAGTGTTCCATTCATTGATGTTTTAGAGAAAAATTCGAATTATATCAAATTCATGAGGTAAGTTCTTTCGAAGAAATGAAGACTTGGCAAATTTGAGACAGTCGCTTTTATTGAAAGTTGTAGCGCCATGGCTATAAGTCAATTGCCACCAAAGCTTAAGGATCCAGGGAGTTTCACGATTCCTTGTAACATTGGTAACACATTTTTAGGTAAAGCTTTATGTGATTTGGGTGCTAACATAAATCTAATTCCATTGTCAATATTTAGGAAATTCAGAAGCGGCGAAGCAAGGCCCACTATGGTTACTTTACAACTTGCTAATCTCTATACCGTACATCCTAGTGGTATTGTGGAAAAAATGCTTGTGCGAGTGGACAAATTTATCATTCCTAAGGATTTCATCATTTTGGATTGTGAAGCGGACAAAGATGTCCCAATTTTTCTCGGCCGCCCATTCCTTGCTACAGGTTGAGCTTCGATTGATGCTGAAAAGAGAGAATTGACTATGTGTTTGAATGATGAACATATTACTTTTAATGTTTCTTACATCAATGACAAAGTTGATTGTTTTTCACTTGACGTGATTGATATTTTTAAACAGGAGCATTTGGAGGAATGCTATAGCGCAGATACATATTTATATGATTTTGAAGCATTTAAAGAATTTCTGATGGATGAAGAAGTCAAATGATGTAGGAAGTATCTCTAGAGCATAGAACTTTTGCAAATACACGATCATATCATCAAGCACCGAAGCCATCCATTGAAAAACCACCAAAGCTTGAATTGAAACAAATATCGGAGCATTTGAAATATGCTTACCTTGGAGAAAATGAGACGTTGACAGTCATTATGGCAGCACATCTTACAACATCACAAGAAACTCAGTTGATTGATGTGTTGACGCAATATAAGAAGGCTATCGCATGGAGCATTGTTGATATAAAAAGAATTAGTCCATCCTTTTGCATGTATAAATTTTTTTGGAGGATCCCAATAGTAGCTCGATTTAACATCAGTGAAGATTAAATCCAATCATGAAATCCACCACTGGTTGGAGGATATGTGTGGACTATAGGAAGCTAAATAAAGCAACGAGGAAAGACTATTTTCTATTGCCCTTCATAGATTATATGTTAAATTAGTTTGCGGGTAATGCTTTTTTTGGATGGATATATTAGTTACAACCAAATTATTATAGCTCCAGAAGATCGGGAGAAAACAACTTTTATATGTCCGTATGACACCTTTGCTTTTTACAGAATACCATTTGGGTTGTTTAATGCTCCAAAGACATTTCAGCATTGTATGATGGTCATTTTCTCCAATATGATTGATGACTATCTTGAAGTTTTTATGGATGATTTTTTAGTCTTTGGGCAGGATTTTGAGAAGTGTTTGAGCAATTTGGCTGCAGTTTTAAGAAGATACGAGGAGACAAACTTAGTTTTGAATTGGGAAAATGTCATTTTATGGTTATGGAAGGTATAGTGGCAGGCCACCGGATTTCAAGTCATGGCATTGAAGTGGATAAAACAAAAGTAGAGGTTATTGAAAATTGTCGCCACCTACTAATGTTAAGGCAATTCGAAGCTTCCTTGGTCATGTTGTTTTTTATAGAAGGTTTATTAAAGACTTCTGTCGAATTGCTAAGCCATTGTGCTCATTGCTGGAGCATAAGACGAAGTTTGTTATTGATGATGAAGTGCTTCAATCTTTTGAGACAATTAAATTAAAGCAAGTAAAATCCCTTATTATTATATCACCAGACTAGAGTTTACCCTTTGGATTAATTTGTAATGTTAGTGATTTCTCTATAGGAGTAATGTTGGGGCAACGAAAGTATAAAATGTTTCGTTCAATACATTATGAAAGTAGGACATTAAATGAAGCTCAGATCAACTATACCACAAATGAAAAAGAGTTGCTTGTTGTGGTGTTCGCTTTCGATAAATTTTGTTCCTAGTTGGTGGGTACAAAAGTGATTGTTTATACCGATCTCTCAGTGCTGAAGCATTTATTTTCTAAGAAAGATATAAAACCTCGTTTGATTTGATGGGTGATTTTACTCCAAGAATTTGACATTGAGATTCAGGATAAAAAGGGATCTGAAAATCAAGTGGTTGATCGCTTGTGTAGGTTAGAATCAGACAGCAAAGCGACATCATTGTAATAATTCCAGATGAATACCCTAATGAGCATGTGTTAGCTACTACATCATTACCATGGTATGCTGATTTTGCCAACTATCTAGTTAGTGGGATAATGCCACCAGACCTAAATTACCAAGACTGAAGGAAATTTATGAAGGATATAAAGCAATATCATTGGGAGGAGCCGTGTTTATTTAAACAATGCAATGATCAACTTATGCGGCGATGTATCCCTCAATGCGAATAACAAAACATTTTGCAGTATTGTCATAGTGCCCCATATGGTGGAAATTTTGGTAGTATGCACACAGAAACAAAAGTGCTTCAATGTGGATATTATTAGTCATCGATTTTTAAAGATGCTAATGATTTTGTAAAGCGTTGTGATCACTGCCAGGGAACTGGGAATATTTCTCGACGAAATGAAATACCAATGCAACCTATCTTAAAGATCGAGTTATTTGATGTGTGGGGATTAGAATTTATGGGTCCATATACATATTCATGTGGCAACCTCTTCATTTTAGTTTATGTAGACTATATATCCAAATAGGTGGAAGTTGTAGCCTTGCCAAACAGCAGTGCTAAAGCAGTTTTGCTATTGTTGCATAAAAATATTTTCACTCGCTTTGGAATACCTCGTGCATTTATCAGTGATGAAGGATCCCAATATATTGGTCATCAAGTTGTTAGAGCATTGAATAGATATGGAATGAAGCATAATATTGCTACAATATATCATCCACAATCTAATGGCTAAGCTGAGGCATCTAACCGTGAAATCAAGCAAATCCTTGAGAAAGTTGTGAACCCTTCTCAAAAGAATTGGTCCCAACACCTTGAAGAAGAACTATGGGCTTATAGAACTATTTATAAGACTTCATTGGGAATGTCCCTTTATCGTCTTGTTTATGGTAAAGCTTGTAACTTACCGGTGGAGTTGGAGCATAAAGCTATATGGGTGCTAGAAATGCTGAATTTTGATTTACATGTTGCAGGCAAAAATTGGATGCTGGAGCTCAATAAGCTAGAGAAACTCTGAAATAATGCCTATGAGAGTTCAAGCATTTATAAAGACAAAAGCAAGAAATGGCATGATCAGAATATTTTGCCAAGGGAATTTATTGTTGGACAACAAGTACTTTATTTAATTCGAGAGTAAAATTATTCCCTGGGAAATTGCGTTCTCGTTGGTCAGGTCCTTTCGAAATTCTTGAAGTTTTCCTTCATAGCACAATATTATTGAAAAACTTGGTGGATAAAAGCACATTTGAAGTTAAATGGCAACGTTTAAAGCATTATTGCCAGCAACAAAACCATGGCATCGCTTCGATCACACTAAGAGATCTTACTTCTTTTTAATATTATGTTCTCTTAAATAAGTCAATTCTATTGACATTTATTTGTAAGTACTTATTTTCTTTATTTTTATGGGTGTTTTCGTTTAATCATTAGAGGTCTGTTCTTCCATGCCGCACAACTATTCATGTTACAACATGCATTCCTTGTTATATGAAAGCCATAACATTACAAGGTTACCCAAAAAATATTTATGGTAAAAATTGGTGTTAATTGTTTCCCATTTTTAACCATCTAATTAACCCAATTATAACAACCTATTCCAACCCATCCTTTTCCCTCCACCATATAATTTTAAATTTTAAAATTCTTTTATCCCTTCTTTCACATAACCCAATTACCCCCATTTACACCACTTTCATCTTCTTCACGACCCTAAAACCTTTGGTAACCACTCTTCCATTTTTCTTCCTTAATATACAAACTGCCATGATACCTAAAAAGAAATCAAGTTCAAAGCAATCAAGTCGTACGCCCACTCCACCTCCTATTGTAGCTACGCCGCTGATAATGTCACCGTCAGAGAAAGTTACAAGATTGATGAATGACGCGAACAAACAACATTATGAAGAGGAATTTGAGGGCTGATATTGATGTTATGAGCATGGCTTTGATTTATCTACAGAAGGGGAGCCAAATTCTTCGATTATATCTCTCAATTGATCTCTTAGCGAGGTCAGGGGTAATTCTATGAACACCTCGACAACATAAACCAGCACATTATTTGGGAATTTTACAGCAATCTCATAGACCAGACTAAGCGTCTAGTCTTTGTTTGAGAGAATATAGTCCAATGGTGGGAAAAACCAATAAACAATTTATTGGGTATCTTTGAAGAGCCTTGCGAGCATACGAAATTTGTGGAAAATTTAATTGAGGAGTTGGAGCAAGTAGGGCGAGATGTTTGCTTACCAGGTCAGTCTTGGACGAGATCGACTACTGGCGTTCGAACTATGAGGTCTTAGATCTCAATCGAGATGCACGGGTATGGTTTATTTTCTTTAGAACTTGATTAATGCTAACCATTAATTTTTACACTATTACTAAGGATCAAATCTTTTTGCTTCATTCCATTTTATTTGGAAGAAAAATTGATGTTGGTAAAGTAGTTTTTGCTGAAATATTTTCTTACGGTTAGAAGACTTCTAGGTATTTTTATTTTCCATCGCTAATTACTCAATTTGCTCTTAAGCACAAGTAGTTGTTTTGTCTTCTGATAATCTTATAGAGAATCGAAGCCCAATCACTCATGCTGCTGTAAGGCGAACATTGTTAAAGGAAGGGCTAGACCCTAATGAAGCTCCTTGGGAAACCATCTATTTCTATGGCTATATTACAACTCATGCCTATTGATGACTGAACTTTGGAGGGCCTTAAAATTGCTATAGCATTGATTGGAGTTAAGATGGATCAGACTATGGTGTTGCTGAGCCATTCTCTTCAAAATCAGTCCCTGATGCACAACGCCCAGGTTCAATATTGGGAGTATGCACAGAAAAGGGATTTGATGACCAAGATGATGTTTGTGAAGCTATTCACAGAGGCTGAATCGCTATTTCCAATATTTCCAGTGAAGGCATTGGAATATTTGATGTAGCCAACAATTTCTGATGCTGGTCATAGCTCAACTAGTACGGAGACTCCTAACACAACGTAGCCAAAAGGGGAAAAAGAAATTATGTCTATCGATACCAAGTCAATGGAAGGTAAAGGGGAGATCGACGAGGAAGAATAAGAAGACGGTGATAGTTAAAAGGAAGAGAAATCTGAGAAAGATACTAAAGTTTTACCTTTGGATGAGGAAATTCTAGGTGAGGCAAAACAGGTGAGTAGTTATAATTGACAGCTATGGATAGAGTTGAAGCTCCAACATAACAAGTGGCGGATCAATTGCTGAATTTAAAAGCCACCACAGCTGAAGAAGCAACAATTGTTGTTTATGAACTAAAGTTGGATACAGTGCTGGTAGTTCGTAATGTTATTGCTGCTGTTAGACAATCAGTTGTTGCGCGTCAGCTGGAGAACACTCCCATAGAACAGGTCGCTGGCACTAAGAAACCAAAACCAGAAGTAAAGAAAAAGATGAATGTTGCAGCATCCACAACTCGAGTCTCTAATGCTACAGTGACAGGAGCAACGTTAACGTCAGCTAGTCAAAAGAGGAAAAACTCGGTGAAGGTAAAAACAACAACAAAGCATCTCTTTTTGAATGTTCTGAGCCCACGTAAAAGCCCAAATAAAACCACTTAGGGTAGTTTTGCTTCCCTTTCTCCTAGTTTAGTTTGTTATTTTGTTTGTGTTACATGCATTAGGGATAATGCATCCCTTAGGTTTGGGGGTGTGTTGTTAGGTTTAAGTGCTACATTTAGGAAAATAGTTACATATAGAATTGCATTGGTAATGCTTTAGGATAATTTTGAAAGAAAATTAATAAAGTAGTTTAAAGAATTTTGATGATGCTGATGATGAATATTAATTGAAATGAAATGCTATATGAAATGTTTTATAAACCCTTCGAACTAAGGATCCTTCGAATATTTTTTAGCACATGGTGTATGTTTTCAATGCTTAGTGAATTTAGAAACTTTCAAGTTGTAACCCTCTTATCTTTATGAGATGCTATATCAATTATTTCACAATTTGAAAAAAATATGAGACTTATGAAATAAGTTGGGTAATATCAGTAATAGCTCCAACATAGTCTTAGGAAATTAGTTGGGTAATGTTGGTAATAGCCCCAACATAGTGAGAGAAATAGGTTGGAATTCCAACATTGGTGAGGAAATATTATTGTAACATTGAATACCTTTAACAAAGTAGGTGCGGATTTTTCTAACTTAGCTAAGTATTGATTTGATAAACCTATATTTCACACACATCACACTGAGGATTCTGATTTTGAGGGGATGACATGGTATTTTCTTATTTGAGATTACATATATGCTTTACAACATTCTCTAAGGGTTGAAAAAGAAACTTTGCTACTTGGTTAATTTTTCTTGGTTATTCTATGGCATTAATGTTAGTTTAGGTATTTCATGCATGTTTTACTTGAGGACAACCAACATTTAAGTTTGGGGGTGCAATAACTCTCTAAAAGAGTTATATTTGGTAGCCTTAATTACCTAGGTTTAGTTTGAACTTAAGCATATTTAGAACCATTTTAGGATTAAATTTAGTTAATTTTGCATATTCTGCATGATAGCAGTGTCGTGGGTTTTTAAGGGTTAAAATTGATTTTTGTTGCTGCAAACTATTGCACTGATGATGTAGCACTACAGGAAATACTGATCGGATATTGTAGCAATCGTCTAACCTTTAGACTATTGGAAGAGCCTTCTGGATTAGGACAACTAGCTTATGTAGCTGTCATATAGATGGATAATACCTGAAACGTAGACCTTTCCTATTGGGCGATGGAATTCTCATTCAAGCTATAAAAGGGGAGTAGTTTGGTGCAAAAAGTATGACGATTGAGAGACATCCGAAACTCTCGTAGTTTCCACTTTATTACTTGATTTGCGATGCGTACACTTGCATTGTATGCTATGGCATTTTCGTAGCATCAAATTTATGGGGCTTAGCCCTGAATTTACCCATATATGGTTAGCTGAAAGAAAATTAAATGAAAACATGTGATTGATGAACCTCTGACCTAAAGAATGATGCCCCATGCCCTTCTATTTAGGCTAAGGCATTATTGGGCTTAAAATAATAAAAAAAACCTTTCATATATGATTTGAATAAAATATTGTAACAAAAAAAGAATCCTCCACATTCGAGCAGTTAAAACCCAGAAACCATAAAGGTTCAAAACCCATCTGCCGTCGTAATCATCGACGAAGCCTCGACCATTCTCGTTCAACCGTCGTGCCTTGTACCACCCACACTATTGTGACCATCGTTCACCTGTGACTAAAACTTGACCCACCATTTGCATAGAAGATGCATTGAAGGTTCACCAAAAATTAAATGTTCGTTATTATTTTTGGATGATTTATCGACGTCTAACTATTGGTGAGAGACACCATCGACGTCAATGGATTCCTCACGTCACTCCTCGTCGAAAAGTAGTCTTATCTCCAACTTCATCATCGACGTGTGGGAAATCGAAGAGGAAAAAGCTTCGGTCAGTTTAAAAAGATTGTCTCCACCACACACTATAGCAAACTAACCATGGCATAGAGCTTAAAATCAATTGATATTTGAGTCTGGAACAATCGATGAAATTCTGACCACCGAGGACTTCTCACGTGCACCTACGTGTGGGGCTTCTTTGCAGCCTGGGGGACTTCTAAACTAGTTTGGATCAGTCCAAACTACCCGAACCGGTCTAGATCACTTAAACCAAGCTGAGTTATACTTAAACCAAGTCGAGCCATCAAGTTGAACCATTAATAGAGCTGAGCCATTGACTGAGTCGAGCCGTTAACCCAGCTGCTAGCTGAGTCGAGCTGTAATTGATCAAACCCTTGATCGTCATTAACTTTGACCGTTGACTAAAAGTTGACCTTTTAAAAAGTAATATTTCAGATTTTTTGACATCCTAAGCCTGTTTTTGGTGCTGTTTAACAAAATTCAAACCCGATAAGTTGTTTTTCCACATTGCATATGTTGGTTCGATATGATTTTCACATTTAATTTATTTTTCTGATATAATTCATTTTGACATGTTTCCAAGAT